TTTTTTTTTTGAGTTTGTCCGAATGACTCAAAAAAGAGGCAGTTTTCCACCTCCAAAACAGCCCATTTCCTTTCCTCCATGTGTTTCCTTTTGCGTCTTAATGTGCCGTAGTGCTGTTAACAACGAGTAGTGGGGGAATTGTGGTTGGTTAACGCCCAAGACCTCATGCAAGGGTGTGCCTCCCATATCACCGTAGTTGCTTCAAAAGGGATTGCACGTCTACTCCTCACCAGTATGCGTTTCATGGAGAAGAATTGGTGGGTGATACTTAAAGAGAGGATTTTGTTAACGAGTTAGACTAGTTGATGGACTGTAAGACGTCTTTGCAAAGGTTCATTTTATTTGGTAAAGTTGGCTTCCCATTTGTCACATGAACAGACCATGTGATTAGGGAGGGCCTGGCAACAATTGTTTTTTTTTCCTTCAATGATTGAAATGCTTCGTGTTTATGGCAATTGTAGGCACGTTCAAAGCGGACCTACGAAGCAGAAATTGAGAATTTGCGAGCTCGCTGTCAGAAACTCGAGGCTGACCTCTCCGAAGCCACCATTAACCTGGGCAAAACTAAAGTTGAACTGGATAGCGCAAGAGCGGTGAGTCGAATTGCGGTCTGAGAATGTCAACTTTGAAATTTACCACTGAAGAGGGTGGTCCTTCACCACCATTCCAACAGGGAACGTAGATTTAACCTTTATGGGGCAGAGTCTACTTTGTTCCCTAAAGTGAGCGGCGAAGACACGGCCTTACCATTTGACCTGAGATCATAACTCTGAACTGCGGGTGCATGCCTAACCTTACTTGGATAGAAAACCGTTACCCTAAACTGTTGCATGACGCTCGAAGCCTATATGTAGTGGATGGGCGGTGAAATATGTAGTTAGTCCCGTGACCTCAAGATGCTGTTAGCTTAAACACCCCCTCCCCTCCTAGAAAAAAATTTAATGTTGGTTGGCTTTAAAATAAGATTTACCCCGAAGGCAAAGAAAGTGGTCCCTATTCGACCACCTGCTTTAGGTGACTTTTTTTGCCTTTTAGGAGGGCAAGCGGACATCAGAAGCCCTACTCGATGCTCAAGATAAGATCAACTCCTTGACCGACCAAATCAGCAGCCGCTCTAATGCAGAGAGTTGGGAGTTGCAGAAGGCCATTGCTGATCGCGACAGCGCATTAAACGTGAGTCATTTCAATTTGTTACCCAATCCCACCCATCCCTCTCCACCTCCCCCGCCTCCACCAAAACGACATCTCGTGCGACAAATGCACATCCACCGTTGTGGGTGCGGTTGCAGTGGCCTCAGAAGCCAGTTGAGTGTGCATGTGCACTGGAAATATTGAAGTGTGTTAGAGGCGAGAGAGCATAAAAGCACAGATTGTGTGGGTGATTAGAAGCCGGTGGGTTATGTGAAGTCATCGAGAAGGCAAACAGGCATAACGGGAATTTATGGGCTCTTGGAGCTCACGTGCTTAGTAGGCTCTTCAGAAAATCTCTTTCATAACACCGTATGTTCCCTGGGCAGTGAAGAGGCGGAGAATCATTTGTAGCCAACATTAACCAACTTAAAATGTTTGTTTGGAACAGACGCGAACATCTCATCTAGCGAAGACTGGCAGCATTGCGCTCAGTTATGCTCATTTGTTGAAAGGCTTGCCATTTGACGTCATAGGCAGAGACTGTGTTGCTTTTATTGCAACGAGAGAGATGGTCAACTTCCAGAAGTACATTACTGGAGTAATATTTTTTTGCTTGGTCCTTTGTGTGGAAAAAAAGCACTTTGATGATAAACCATCAGCGTCATATGTGAGTGGCGTTGTTATCACCTTATAACAACTGATTGCACCAAAACGCATCCCCAGAACCACAACAGCAACTGGTTTCACAAGGAAAAGCGAAAAATCGGGCTATCTGAGAAAATTCATGTTTTTCGATGTCTTTCCAATTTTCGAAAAAGCCACCACCTCGGTGCTGGGCGAGCTCATTTAAAAACTCCTCTACTTTCATTGAAGGCGCTGAAAGAAGTGAATTCGGCTGTGGGTAACGGGCCGAGGGGTTCCATAAGCATGGATACGGTGGCGCGGTTGGAAGAGATGCAGCAAATCATCCACAGACTGAAGGAGGATAACAAGAACCTAACAAAACAGGTGCGGGACGCTCAGGAGGAGTCCTGGTTTAACAACCTCCGCGATGGACAAAAACTCCTCTATGAAACAGACAGTACATTAGAAGCAGAAATGGACATGTTGACTAAAGAAGAGGTAAGTTCTTGTTAGTTAATTTGTGTTGCCCCTAACTTCGCGTCCTTTTCCAAGATCTCCTCAAATAGGCATTCGCGTTAATCTCTACTCATCCCAAGGATGCAGAACTAATATCTGGCCGATTCTGTAGAAAACTTAAGGATAGAATCCCACTTTTGACCTACTTAGATTTATAAGGAAGAGAACAAAATGTGGCAAATTCATCAGCCATATTTATGATCATTCATCGTCTCGACATCTAGTCGGAGTCTAACAGTTGGTAGTGAACCAGTGAAAATGCTCCTTCTTTGCGGATGAAATTGTGACCCCAATGGATCCTTTAAAGTGTGCTCAATGCACAACACAATTGTTTTCTCTAGCCAACGTCCCCAAATTTTCTTGTAATCAATACATCTACTGAAATGACTGATTTTAGTAGCATAGGCTTCGTTGGCTCAAAACAGATGTCAGTTACCAATAGAAATGCGTTTTAAAATCCCACCTTTGTTGTTGTTTTGTGATTTTTTTTCCACTCAAGTCAAGCGCAACCACTGACTGAGTGCTGTGTGCATCCTTTGCATGTGTAGGTCTATAAGGAATGGCAGAAGGTAACTGGAAGATTTTGTGTTGGCTTTACATTTTTAGCACCACCTGCCTGCAATCGCAAAATAAAATTTGTGTGATTTATTCAATGTCCCTATTGTTTTGTGCAATCCCGGTTGCAAGTCATACTGCATGCCCTTGGTTTCATCTCCACAAATCCGGTTCAAATGATCGGCACTTCACAAATGTCACATGCTGGCGAGGATAGAGGTATTGGGAGGGAGTGCCTATGCGACTATCTAAACCAGTGCTTTTATTGAGGTGTATGAAGTCAAAAACACTGAGAAAACAAGATAAGAGGCGGCAAACACATCTCCAACCATCAGATCCCAGTTTAATGGAGGCGACACAAATGTGCAGCGAGCATTTGCTACCATTTCACACTATGTGATTGTGTTCCATCATGAAGGCCTGTTGGTGGAGGGGTGAAGCAGCTTTTTTTTCATTGATTTGCATCAACTTAGTTGGCCATTGATGCTTTGGCGATCGGAGGTACCCTTAAGCCTATGGTTCTCTTTATTTGGCAAAAAAAAAACATTTATTTTTGGCATTCTCGGAAAACAGCTTCACCGTTCACACCGAAATGCTTTACTCACAGAGGCTGCCTTGATTGGCTTTTGATGCACTTTATCCACACAAGTTCCTCTATTTCTTTTTTTTTTTTTAAAAGACATTCACTTTAAGTATGGTTTATCTAAATGATAGACTTCATTGCTTTCAGGTTGTTAAACTGCTGACGCAAGAAAAACACACAAACAACCAACTGCGCGCCTACCTAAACACGCTTCTTGAGAAGATCATGCTGAATTACCCCGAATTGCTTGAAACCAAGTAGTTCTGGCATTTCATCTTCACCTCTGCTGTCGTAAGGACAGGACGGTCATGCGCATCTCCCCCTCTTACCCCCTCCTCCCACCTTCTCCCCTCAACCGTGTCCCACCTCCATACAGTGCCCTCGTG